ATTGTTTACGACAGTTTGTTTACGTCTTTCTATTCTAGGCTAGCTTCTACGCACAGGCTAGCAGCACGTATGATTTTGTGTGATTTCCATTCTAACGGTGATGATCTTCTCCGTAAACTAAAGCTGCGAGACCTTGTCTCCCGTAGACGCTACTTTCGCCTTCTTCACTTTTATAAAGTGTTATTCGACATCTCTCCTCTATCTAAATTTTGTGTCATTTCCATGCGTCACACAAGAGCCAGTCTTCGACTAAACCAAAATCCTTTCGCTGTGATTGTTCCTTTTACATCAAAGAAAAGTGTACAGGGATCATTCTTCTATCTAACAGCGGACGAGTGGAACATGCTTCCGCCACACGTCATTAGCAATCCTGATCCTGCTAACTCTTCGAATGCTATTCCTGTTTCTTTACCAGTCTTTAAAGCTCGCCTACGCGCTCATCTCCGTGACCAAATGTAATTGTTCTGCTGGATGTTCTAAACAGTTCTTCTACTTTACTTGCTGTTATTATACCTTATTTTTCTTGTTTTTTTTGTGCGTTCGTATTTAGAAAGATTTTTGGGAGCAGTATTTACAAGCCGGGGGCTTTTCCTGTTTCCCTGCTTTGATTTAAGCTAAATAAATAAAACTGTAAACTGTAAACCAATGCCCGGATACAGTTGCTATGTATTGAATAAAAGTTTACAATCTGTTTCTATTAATGAAATCGGCGAGCTGTTTATTGGCGGTGTCCGTGTATTTCCTGGCTATTTAAATCGACCATATTTGTCCCAAAAAGTGTTCGTTTATCTGCCGGGCGTGAACGAACAATGTTATCGAACCGGTGACTTAGTTAAAATCAATTCAAACGAAGATCTACTCTATGTAGGAAGAAAAGATTTTCAGGTGAAGCTAAGCGGGCAAAGGATAGACTTGGAAGGGATCGAAAGTGTGATTAAGAAATCATCACCAAATTCAATTAAAAATTGTCTCGTCATGAAAATACAGGATGAGGAAACGGTACAAGATTATTTAGTAGCTTATATTATACAATCATCGATGAACGACTTGAAAAAATTGCATGTTAAGAATATTGTGAAGCAAATTTATCTCCATATATGGTATCCTCTTTTTTCATCATCTTAGATAGGTTTCCTCTCAATCAAAATGGAAAAATTGACCGGAAGAAACTACCACGACCAGACTTTAAAGCATTAGACAACGAAGAGCACCAATCTAACTTCAGACTCAGCAGAAATCTTACGATAGTGCAGTTATTTAAACAATCACCAATTAGTGGACATGCTGAAATCATAGTAAATGATCAAACAGCAGCAGCAGCGTCTAGAGATAGAGGTGATATTGATCATCAGTGGGAACCATTGCACATAACCGAAGGTACGTTAATAGTCTGTCAATAAAAAAAGAAAGAAAATGGCAATCTACTTTATTTTTGTTTTCTTTAGGCGTTCTTTCCTTTGTTATGGAGAGAATTTATTTAGACGAACGGATTCGTTTTAGGCAAAAACACGGCAAAAACAATATTCCAGTGTTCTATCGAATAAAAAAGGTCAATTAAAAATTGAACGTCTACGTTCGTCAGTGGAGTTAATAATTGAAAAACATTCTATTTCAAGAACATCTATTAAATATGATTTACAAGACAATTCTTTGAAACAACACATTAACAATGAAGCAAATAGATATTCATTTCAAATAACACATTTGACGGTAAAGAACCCGAACGAGAAACAACAACAATTGGATGACATTTTAATGGATGAACAAATGAACTCAAATTTAGAGGGTGAGGGTGTGAGTCAAGAAGCATACCGTGATCGCGATTTCGACCTTGCTCAAGGGTCTCATCAGACGGCTTATTTGTATATAGATTCTATTCTAATGATCCGTAGATCACAAATAAGACATTTATATCCAATAGATCTATAAAGTTTTCCGAAGAGAATCGATAAATAACATTAACGTAGTGATGTGTCAAGAAGCGCACCGTGATCGTGCACTGGACCTTGTTTAAGGGTCTCACCAGATGGTTTCGAGTTTGTATTCATTTAGATAATCCAGAGATGGGTGTGGCTGAACGTGAGGGTGGGTCAGTGTATGGGTTTGGGTGTTATACTTATCTCACACTCACACCCACATCCTCAACAAAAAAGTCTCAAGAACCATGTGGGTCAGACACTTCTAGGACGGTGATGTGCGTCTCCATCTTTTATTTATTACTTCTTGAAAAAATCGATGTACAAAGAAATTAAAAAACAGAAGCGTTCGCTATACAGTGGAACACTTTATAACTGCCAGAATAGATGCGAGAGAATATACAAAATATTCTCTCATACTCATAAAAATGTAAAAGCGTTTACCAGTTGTAGTACGATTTTTCTTTTATTTGTTTTGTATTGACTCCGAGAACGAGTAGAAAATAAAAGAATGCATTAAAAAAACAGAAAATAAGCAAGATTCATCGAGCAAAAAACAGTTCTCTGTCATCTTACACAACTCTCTACCAGTGGAAGAAGCCAAATAAGCGGTGAAATTGTGTAATAAAAGAGAAGACATTTTTTCTTTACAAAAAGAACTACGAAAATACGTCCGGTATTTTTAATCGTAAGAGGCGCAGGGAGAAAATCACATTTTCCAACTTATATCGTTGAAGGGACAAAGTCCAGAATGAATTATAGCTGCAACTTGCCGTCAGAACATTCTCCGGATTCTCACGATGCATTTCTCTCACAAAGATTTTCCCCAATAATTAGCATGTCAGCAGATGAAAGTTCGGACGACACCGAGATCTTCCAAGTTGAAGTGGGCTTTCACGATGAAAACGAATGTCGGTCCGTTCTCGAACCGCTTGCAAATCAAAATCAGTGTAGTTTCGAGCAACAATTTGGTGTACAAAAGGTTGCACTTACGGTGCCACGATCGTTTGCCGATGATAATCATCAGCAGCGTGCTTCAACAGTATTACAGTCTATCACAGTCGATGGCAAAAGTTTTCGGCTTGGGATTTATAACGGCGAAATTAAAGTACTTTTAGAAGCAATTGAATATCAAGTGGTAAGAAAAAAGTTTCTTTTTCTGAAAGTAGAACGTTGCGTCAAAGTCCATAAATGGAAGGGCACTGGTCTCAGTAAACATACTTCGAGCCTCGAATTATTTCGCATCTCCGCCGCAGACGGGAAAACGCACTATTACTGTTTTTTAACTACAATGCACTCGGTTATTTTTTCCAATAACCTTTCGCGAAACGAGCTATCGACCTGCGTCGATTGCTTTTTGAAAGAAGAAGTTTTTGCCATAAAATCATGTGTTTTCACATTTTTAGAAATGCGAAACGAAAAGTTAACCGATTTTAACCAGTAAAAAGACTTTGAATAACTCATGGTTTTATGACAAAATTGTCTTCTTTTTGTACTGGCAGAAACAGCCATGCGATAGATTGTTTCGTTAAAAAGTTATTCCGAATACAACCGAAATCATGATACCCGGTGTTAAATGCACGCCGAAAAAGTATTCGTTTTTTGCGTGTGAAAGAAGGCAAAAACGCGTTCCAATTTGAATTAGAAGACGCGTTTTGTACATCAAAAAACGCGTTTTTAATTGCGTGAAATATGAGAAAACGCGGATTTATTTTTTGAAGCGCATAGCTAGCGTGTAAAAAAAGGCAAAAACGCTGAGAAACGGAATTAATTTTTAAAAACGCTGAAAAACGATTTTAACTTAAATAAACGGTTGAAAACCCGCTTTGTCTTTCCCGTTTTTAAGGATTTCTTCTTTTTGAAATCGGCTTTCTCTTCATCCGATACTCTGTGCAACGACAAAAAGCCATTTATTGTACAAAAGTACATGTTTGCGCTACTTAAAAAATAATTAAACGAATCAAAATACGTCTAAAAAAGAGCCAAATTCAAATTGGAATGCGTTCGAACGCGTTTCTGCCTTCTTTTACACCCAAAAAACCGAATACTTTTTTAGCGTGGATTTTTCACCGAGATTCAAAAACCAGCGAAATTGACAGTTGCTCATTATCTTGTGTTTTATTTCAAGGCTGATATAATTGCAATCTGTTCAGAGAGTGGAATACTGCGAAATATTGTCTTAACAGCTGCCGGAACAGCCGTTTCTGCAGAATATCAGAGAATACAATCTCAGCAACCCTGGCTTGAAACTCCACCCGGATCACTAAAATGTAAAAAAATCGTCCATTACACATTGGGATTGGATGCGCTAAATATATGTCTTACACTTTTCGTTAAAATGTGGGTGGCAAACGCGTACGATAATAATTATCAGAGTATTGGTGAGTGATTTTATTAAATCTCACAGGAATGATGTGATCTGCGAGAAGAAACGAAAAGAAAAATACCTGAGCTTTTTGTTTTACTTTCAGCCTTTGGTGTTGAAAATCCAGCATTTGCATCGTCAATGATTGCTCTTGTAAAACAATCATTAGAACGGCACCGAAAACCATTATCTGTGTTATTCGTTATATCAGAAAGAGACCGTCCAGTGTACGATGAGTTTGTGAGCTGTTTGGCTACGATTCCAACAAACAAGGCGACAGATAATTCCATACCGAGGCTACAGATAAGTTTAACAGCGACGATAAATTTCATTTCACAAATTCATTTATTTTCTCTACTAGTTTCGGCCGATCAAAGCCATCATCACGAGGAAAATTGTGTAACTAACTCCTGAATTGAAAACATGACCCCACCGAAAGTTTGTTTTAGCCCTAAACGCGTTTTTCAGCGCTTTTCGTTTTTTTAACGCGTTTCGTGCACTAAAAGAAAGCGTTTTTAATCGGTTTTTAGTGCAAGAAATGCTTTAAAAAATGAAAAAACGCTGAAAAATATAACCCGGTTTTTATACTTCACCTTTTAGTACCCAAGCGCGTTGTTTGCACTAAAAAAACCGCATTTAGGTCTAGAACAAACTTTCAGCTGAGGAAATGTCTCATTTCACAGAGATTCAAAATTCACTTTACAGAAATTTCTGTAGGTATCCATTCAAAACAAAGTAACTTTTTTCCTGATCATGGCTTTGATCGGCCGAAACTAGTAGAGAAAATAAATAAATATTTGAAATAAAATTTACAGTTGCGGTTCAATTTATCATTTCTCTTTTACGATCTCTTCCCATTCCTCATTCCATCTACATCGATTGATACAACAAGATTTTTTCAAAAAGGTAAGCTGATATATGTGAGACATATCTGTCGAAATGACTAATGCTGCAATCACGTAACTTACAAGGAAACGGCACCAACTGCCAAATCCCTATTGAACTAAAACTTAGTGGAGAATAGACAATGGTTTTTGCTGCTAGACCTCTGTAGACCGGCTACCAAAAAACCAAGCCTCAATTAACGGAGAGCTGTCGACGACAATCATTTTCCTATTCCGCATAAATGAAAGGTGCATTGAAAAATCTATAAGAAACTACTTTTTCCAATTCTTTGAGAGATGTTTGTATGATCTGTCCGTAGCCGAACAATCTCAATATACAAAGCAACGGTGGTTTTCTGAGTTTTTCAGCCACGGATGTCATACAAAAACCTTTCAACTTTGAAAAGTAGTTTACTATGAGTTTTTCGGTGCGCTCTTTCATTTAGGCGGCTTAAAAACAGTTTGTCGTCGACGATTCTTCGCTAACTGACACCTGGTTTCCTGAAAGTCGGTCTCTGGATGCCTGGTAGCAAAAACCATTGTAATATTTGGAATCAGCACACTGAATTACTTATTGTCCACTAAGCTTTAGCTCAAAAGCGATCGGACAGTTGGTTTCCTTTCCTACTTAGATGAATTTATCTTGCAAAGAAAGTTATCTCTCTAACTTCTGACATTTTAGTTGCTAAAATCACATTGAAGAGTTCCTCCTCAAGTCAACCTGATCTAAAAAAATGTCGTTCGGAAATGGAAGAAGTGTGTAAAAATAGTTTAATAAAATCTTTAATCGAAAATACATCTGATTTACGTGAATGGACACAATCAACAGTTAAACGTTACTTTGAATTTTGTGTGGGGGTAAAACAAGTACTGCCTAGAATGGATATTGGAAATGGTATTGTTGAGTTGAAAGGATCTGCGGCTCATGTGAGTAGTAACTGTCTCGGTGAAAGCTCTCGAATTTTGATGTAGCAATTAGTCATTTCTATTCTAGGTAGAGGATTGTAAAAATTACTTTAACGAATTAAACAGTGGTTTGTTAAATCAAGCAAAAAAGGTCGCTCGAGCCCAGAGTGTTGTATGGTCATATGTCCATCCTGAGACAAATCAGTGGGCACAATATCCAATTAAACTCAATGCGGAAATTGAAGATGCATTTCAGAAAAGATTACCGGTACAGAAGAAAAAAAATCAAGGAAATCTGTTAAGCTTCCGTGTGTTTCCTCGTACAGGATAGTTTTACAAAGTGGACCTCCTCTCGTTCCCAAAATCAATTTTGTGCCAATCAGCGTCAAATTCTGAGTATTTTAGCATTCTCACTTTTTTAAAAACCGTACTTTCACTTTTTTCAAAAACTTCAACGACAAAGATCCCCCCTTTGACACATGAAAAAAATAATCTTCTGTAAGATCAAGAAAAGACACATTTTCTGGCTCGAAATTTGACGCTGATTATGAATATGTGTTCAAAAGTTTGAAAAAGTTAACTTTTATAGGACAAAACTGCGAAAAACTGGAGAATTTTCGCAAGCGGTTTTCTGTTCTAATTAAATTTTTGACTGACGAAACAGGTTTGAAAAATTTGAAACACGCTGGCCTATATCGATAATATTGCCAGCTCTCAGCATCTATCAATAAAAGTTTATAAAATCAGGTTCAAGGCGCCAAAAACATGAAAAACTGCGAAATCTTGAGCGTTTTTTGGCCATAACTCTTACTAGTAAGCTTGTAACAATGTGAAAATTTCACTACAGGCCTAACTTTTGATCCAGTGGTGCAATTAAAACTTCGAAATAAGTGTGCGTCATAAAAGTCCGAAGCCTGGTTTCTAGAAATCGTCCAGAAAGCCCGTGTCACATTCATAGAACTTTGGCTAAACAGATCGAAAGAACGTTCAATTTGGAGCGAAACATGATGCCAACGAGCTTTCTAGCATTTATTATTACAAACTTATAAGCATTTGAAAAAATTCTGCCGTTTTTCGGAATTTTTTGCAGGAAGATGTCACAACCAATTGTCAAATCCTTATAAGTTTGTAATAATAAACGCTAGAAAGCTCGTTGACATCATGTTTCGCACGTTCTTTCGATCTGTTTAGTCAAAGTTCTATGAATGTGACACGGGTTTTCTGGGGGATTTCTAGAAACCAGGCTTCGGAGTTTGTGTGACGCACAGTTCGAAGCTTTTAATTGGACCATTGGATTTGCCGTCAAAAGCTAGGCCTGTGGTGAAATTTTCACATCGTTACAACCTTACTAGTAGAAGTTATGATCAGAAAATCTGAAGGATTTCGCGGTTTTTCACTTTTTTTGCGACTTTTGGCGTCTTAAGTCTGACTTTTAAAAGTTGTGTTGGTAGATTCTGAGAGCCAGCGATATCCGTGACATGATTCACTCTATTTGAAACTATTCAAACCTGTTCCGTCAGTCAAAAAATTTATTAAAACAGAAAAACCACTTGTTAAAATCCTGCGGTTTTTCGCATTTTTTTTCTAACAAAGCTTCACTTATTCTTACTTCTGAGCCGATACTTGTGATCAGCGTCAAATTCTGAATCAGAAAAGGTCTTTTTTATTTATTTTGGAGAAAATTATTTTTTTCATGTGCTAAAAGGGGACCCTTGCCGTCGAATTTT